TCTCCCAGAGGGCGGGGCGTCTGGGCACAGGGCCAATCAGGAGCCCTGCGAGGGGGCAAATCTGCATGAGAGAGAAAGAGAGAGAGAAGCACAAGTGCCTCTCTCTGTCTCTCTCTACAAATGGCGGAGGACGCTCGGAGCTGCAGGGGAAGGCTCAAAAGTGTCCCCAAAACATCTTGCTCCATTGCCCCCTATCGCCTCCTTTTCGTTCCATCGCCCCCACGCCGCCCCTTTTCATTCCATCGCCCACCTGGAAAATGAAATCGCCCCCTGGGGGGCGGTACCGCCCAGGTTAAGAACCACTGATCTATGTCACTCTTCCCTGCAGTCTTTTTAGGGCATCAGTAGTTGGGGGTTTTTTGTTTTTTTTGTATCTTGGTGATCAGAACTGGCTGCAGTTTTCCAAGTGTGGCCTCAACTATGCAGTCTAGAGCGGTACTATCTCTTCTTGTGATCTTGATGCTATCCCTCTGTTGATGCAGCCTAGAACTGCATTGTCTTTTTTGACAATTGCAGGACACTGCTTACTCATACATAAGTGGTGATCCACCAGGACACCTAGATCCTTCTCACAGACACTACTTACAACCTGGTTCCAAAGTTTCAACAGCTGCCCATCCCCATACATTTACAGCATCCCATAATTATGTGACTGCATTTTATGACTTTTTGCTAAAAACCAGCATTTTCTGCCCATAGTGAAAATTTTGCTTTATAATTGCAAAGTTCATTTTACAACCACAACAAAAAAGGTCATAAAATCAGATCAGTCACATGGGTGACCACTTTAAGACCATCACAACTTATAATAAGCAAATTCCATTATTATCATAAATCAACAACTATTATCATAAACCAAAAAAAATCAAGGTGAGTTATTATGAGTTTCTTTCTGCACTTTCCATTTGGGCAGGACTAAATTGCTGTTTCTCCCAGTTTGAAGTTCACTGCTCTTTTTAGACCTTGGTGTTCATGAAGCTTGGGTTTCTTTTTGCAAATGTTTTATTATCAAACTAGGTAACATTGCCAGGGTTTGATGCAAGGAAGTGATATTTGTTGGCTTTTTATACATGGCAGATTGTCTATATGTCTTCCACAGGGTTGTTATAGTTTGCGAGCTTGTTTCTGACTGACCTACTGTGCTGGATTATTTCATCTTAGATTGTTTCTGACTATTGTCTTGGCTCTTTCTTATCTATATCTTGATTTGATAGATGCAGCATTGATGATGTTACCTTGTTTGGCCATGAAACATTTGCAAGAAAAAAAAACAAGCACAGTGAACACTAACATTCTAAATCCCAGCCTGGAGCCACAAATATTTTTCATAATTGTTCATTATTCTCTTCTCAAGAACAGAACTACAGCTTGTATGGAAACAAACTGTTGAAAGTGTTCTAAATCCACACTCCCCACTCTGCAAAGTTTAGGCTGTTATAGTCTTTTGTTAGCTCAGTCGTTGATGGGTAGCTTTGTATTTATCCTGAAAGGCTTGAAAAGTGTATATGTCTCATCTCTCTTTGGTGACTTGAAATGACCACCTTTTTTTTTTTTTACAGAAAGCAGATTTAGGTGTGGAATTTAGAGGACGGGCATTACTGATTTCCCAAGTCTGTCTGTCTGTCTCTCTCTCTCTCTCTCTCCCTCCCTCCCTCCCTCCCTCCCTCCCTCCCCCTTGAGTCAACTAAAATAATGGGAAGAGTTGTAGAGGAAACATATGCCAGGATTATTTTTTTTACCTAAGTCACTTTCTCTTAAATTACAGGGAAGAAATTGGACAGGCTGAATATGTAGTTATCTATTTTTAATTATTTTTACAACTAACATGTAAGAGAAGTTGCATCATTTTAAACAGACTTACCTTCTCTTCTCTGAAGCATCAACCTAAGTTTATTTCCCTTTGAAACACCTGAATTAAGAAAAGCAAAATTAAGTAAAATGTATAAATAATGCACAATTTTCCTATACAATATTACTTTTTAGACATGCAATTATGTGACTGATGAACACAAATAATTTTCATTCTCTGTGCTTCAGTACTTAAAAGAAACTATGGTATAGTATGTGCATTTCCAACAAACATGAATGAATAAAATTACAAAACTAATATTTAAAGAAGCGTATCTATTCCAGGAATAGATATATTTGAGAATACCAAGTTTATATTCATGCCATATACTTTATTATTAAGGAATCAGTTTCTAGATCTATACATGCACAAAAATGTTGGCATTAACTTGATAAATTAGTAAACAGCAGCACTGTTTTTTAAGAAAGGAAAAAGAACCATCCACCAATCTTGCCAGAAGCCATCTTTAGAAACAAGCAATTCTCCCTGGATCATTGGGGTAGAGCAGGGTGGGTCACAATGGCAACTTTACGACCTATGGACTTCAACTCCCAGGTCATAAAGTTGTCATTGTGGCCCAGTCCTGGGCTCAGAGTAAAAAGAAGTATTTAAAAAGGCAAAAACAAGTGGTGATGGATCCAGGCAAAATATTTTTTACTACTCAATACCAATATTCATAAATCTCAGGCCTTCAAGAGGTGTTGAATCGTAATTCCATTATGCATGCTCCCCCCATCCATCCAGCAGGACAGAGCTGAGAGCATCCAGAACAGTGTTTTCAAAACTTGGCCAATTTAAGATGTATAGAGCAGCTCCCAGAATTCTCCAGCCAGCATGGGGAATTCTGGGAGTTGAAGTCTACATATCTTAAAATGACCAAGTTTGAGAAACACTGATCAGTAGGGAAGACAAGCATTATTCTCTTTCACTTATCTCTACTCTATCAAAGGTGATGGTCCAAATGTACCCTTGATATGCAACACTGCCAGCAAAGGTACACAACACCATTTCTTTTTTCTGTCCCAACTGGCCAAAACCCAATACCAAACCCAATACTATAGTGCCCATTGCAGTATTTTTCTTTTTGCCCCCACTGCTGCCAATCATCCTCCTTGAAGCACCCTGAAGGCCAGGCCTTTCTCAGTACCATTAGATCTTCAAGAGCTGAGGAGAAGCGGCACATAACAGCTGGAGCAAAAGGAATTTGTCTGCCTCCCAGCAGTTACAAATGTGCTGCGGGAGGATGCTCCAGCAGGTGGGGCATTTCTAGAATCTGGAATTACCTCCAAATTAATCTCTTTATTAGCATGAGAGCAAGCCAGGTACGTTCCTGCTCCCTTCCTGTCATTAAGAGAGCAATCCCTATTCCCCCCCCCTGCATCCCCCCTCACTCCTTCAATCTTCCTACCTTCCCTCTTCCTTCCTCCCCTCCTACCCACACCTCTCTCCTCCTCTCCTTTCCAACTATCCTACACATCCCATCACCTTCTTTTCCACCTCCTTCGGATGCAGTTTAGGGGTACTAGCCGATCATCTCTTCTCAAAAAGAGAAAAACCATTACATTATTTATCTATAACATATAAATACACCAGATTTTATACAATTCTACCCCTTCATCCCCCTTCCCCCCTCCCCCCCCGGATCATTTCTGAAAATATATTGACTAGGTTTTCTTTTTGTTTTTTAATGAAATGCACCACATTTGTATTTGTTTATATGTCTATTTGAAAATTAATAAAAATTTGCAAAACCAAGAGAGCAATCCCTATTCAATAACGGGGGTGCGTCTCCTGCCTAGTCCCAAAGATGCTTTTTCACGAGGTAACTGGACTTTCTTGGGGGGGGGGGGTTGTAGTGTGTGTGCGTGTGTGTTTTAAGACGTTTCGCTTCTCATGCAAGAACTTTCTTCAGCGGTGAGCTGAAAAAGCTTCTTGGATGAGAAGCGAAACGTCTTCAAAGAAAATGAAGAAAGCCCAGTTGTCTCGTGAAAAAGCATCTTTGGGACAACCATGGCCAGGATGACTGAGAACCTCCATAGACGGCTCCCTCCTAGGTTAAGCGCCCCCCGACGGCCACATGCGGCGGCCCCTTTTTCCCAAGTCGCTCGCCCGCGCCTCCCAGTGCACGCGCAGCCTGCCCCGCCACGCCACGCCCCTTGCTCGGCTGACTCACCCGGGCTCAGGCAGAGGAGGAGGAGGAGGAGCCCCACCAACGCAACCAAAGGCGGAGCTGCCCGTTGGGGCCACGCGCGGCGCGGCAGCGGCATCCCGGCGGGTCCTCGGAGGAGCTTGTCCCACGCTGCGCGATGCTTCGGCCACCTGCGGGGAAAAGAAGGCGCGCGAGGCGGCTAGTGAGTGGGAAGGAAGCGGCGGGAGAAACGGGAGAGTCCGGCAGGCGATTTCCTTTCACAGCCGACCCCGCGGTGCCTCTCGTTGGCCGCTGCTCCCTCGCAGGCTGGCGGGGACGGAAAGCGATTATGGAGCAGAGTGGAAATCGCCTTGGAACCGGGAGTAACGTGGCTTGCCAGGTTTCCAAACGTATTCGGCGCCGGAAAAGCCTCCTGACTACAATTCCAACTATTCCGCCAGCATATCCGAGATGGCGGTTCCAGCCTCAGTTACTGTACATCGGTAAAACGTCCGCAGGGTGGGGACTGTAGAGCTACACAGCAGTTGCCAAATGTACAAAGCAGTGAAAACTGGTCCCCTCTTTCGGGGGTTTCTCTCTTCATCTGTCCGGCTCATCTCTATTGCTGCCAAACTGCATTCACAAAATGCATGGGTGCACATCAGTGGTGGGATTCATCCAGTTCGCACCACTTTGGCAGAACCGGTAGCTAATTTTTTGTTGTCCACGTCCAGAATGGACTTCTGGAAGTGGCATCCACACAGA